TGCAATAATACAGACTGACACATGTGAGTTAAGTGACTTGATAATTCTTTCAATGTAGTACAACTCATACATTTGCAGGGTTTTTATTATGAAGTTGCCTTGCCATTTGGCTTGCTTCCTTGATGAAGGACAATGTCCTCCTTGTGATAAGCCCCATGATGTGACACAGTATCCTGATTATTATGATGCCCTTTACTATCTGCAATATAATCTCACATTCTTTGAAACATCTGAAAAAAATTGTGCCTGGTTGAAAATTTTGCTTAAATCTCATCATTCGTGTTGCTCAACGTGCCACAGGTTAAATTTTCATGGTTGTCTCATATGATGGTGTTTGCATCATTATATGTCAGCAGCAAAAATCATTGTCTATGGCACCAAGTGAATTTGCTGATGTGGGTTACTGTCATTGTATTGTATTGCGTAGGCTTTCATCTCGCAAATCTCTAACCATTGAGAAGTGTATGCCTTCGAGACTAAATGACTATCCTAGATGGTTCTACTACAACGAGGAAATTCAAGAGCAAAAATTATCGGTCCTCTTGGATAATGTCCTAGTCGAGTGTGTTTCTCGACTATCTGTTTCACGAGGAAGATCGAAAATCCTGTCTCAGTGTCTTTGAGCGGAGTCGGGGATTGGCGCTTGCGCCGTTACGATATTAATCAGAATGGAAGATTTTGAAGTGATTCCGTGTGCAATTCAGCCTGAGAAAGCGATTTTGATAATCGGACCCGATGCCAAATCGTGCCAAATTGTCGAAGCGCCGAGGCGCTTCACGTGATTCTGAATCGGATTTTAGATTGTAAACAGCTGTACCCTCTTGTTTCAAAATACAAACGTCTAATTAAATAAACTTGTCCCGCAACTTGCAAGCAAGCACCTGAGCACCCTCTCCGCACTCGAGCAGCATGGCACCCAAAGGAAAAGGCGTCCAACAAGCATCTCCGCTGACTCGGAAAACTCTTAGTAAAAAGCACTTGTAAAAGAGGCGAAAAAAAGCACAACCAGGATATCAAGTGCGTGAAATGTATGTCAGAAAACAGATCAAACATATATATAACTCACCTTAGGAACTGTTAGTTTTAGTATACATGCCTATTCACAAATCCAACCGGAAATCACGTTGAGAATCCGTTCTCGCAGCTGCTGCGGGGTGTTCAAAGTGGGTGGCGATTTTCACGCGATTTTCGAACTCTGAATCGGCTAGTAATCACACGCAAAATCGCTTCATGATCGTTCACTCTGACTACCACTAATATGTGAGAGTCATAGGTGGTCCTCGGTATCGGTCCAGTATTTATTCATTTGGCTAGTAACAACCAGAAACACGTCGTTGTCGTATCTAATTAGAACAGGTATGTGGGAAATGTGGTCCAGGTGCCACGGCGCTGGCACAAATCGTCGACGCATCAAGTGCAGCGTGTGACTAGGCCGCATCAAAATAGCTCGAGTCCGATAATATGGTCCTGTGATGCTCATTTTTCTTATGTCCAACCGCTCATTTAATTTCGTTCAAGGTCGTGACACCTGTGCCGTTCAACCTTGAACTACGGTCGCCCACAGGTCACTGATAGCGACCGTAATTTTCAATGGAGCCTCAACGATATTCCGAAATTCATCTGCGTGTGTCGGTCCGAAGATCGAAGCCTAAGGCTTCGCGAACCTCGAACCCCGGCAGAATTCGACAACTCATCTATACCTTTATCACACACAGATGCTGATATGAAGCTACGAGCCCATCTTTCTGTTGACATTATTCGTTCTTCAAATCCACTCGCTGCCCTCGTAAACGAAACTCTCACAAGATGACAAAAATTGCAGAGGCGCCATCTCCTGTAGTCGAGGAGGCCAACAAGAGGCCGGGTGCATCATGGAAAAAAGTCGAAGAGCATGTCATCCCAAAAAATCGCTTGGGCATTGTGTTCTTGGGCTTGATGTGTACCATCTTCTTGGTAGCTTTAGATCAAGTACGGAATTGTGTTATTTTATTCGTGAATATCTGACTCACACACCACGAGACTATCGTTGCGACCGCCTTGCCCACAATTGTAGCAGAACTTGGAGGAGGCAAGAACTATAGTTGGGTGGGAAGGCACGTATATGTTACATATGGTGTTGTTGCGTGGTACTATTTTCCATACAGTGCTTACATGTTGGTGTGCGCCTCTTTGAGCCCGCTATATGGCAAGCTATCCGACATTCTAGGCGAGTACCCTTTGAGTGCCATGGAACGTTGCTTGGAAATCAACTTATGACTGGGATCTGCAGGGCGTAAACCCATGCTATATGGATGCATCTTCATGTTTTTGGTACGTCATTGCTAGTACACGCGTCCGATCTGGCTTTGACCTCAGACTAGATTGGTTCAGCGCTGTGTGGTGCAGCTCAGAACATGACATGGTTGATTGTCTCTCGTGCCTTACAGGGAATGGGCGGTGGCATCTTTCAACTCGTACAGATCACTATATCCGACATTGTTCCATTGCAAGAGTGAATATGTGTTACCACCACCGAGTCATTATTGAATATATTTATTTTCTAGGCGAGGCAAGTATACTGGTCTCGTCGGCGCTACTTGGGGAATAGCAAGGTAAGGCTAAATGAAATACCCCCGTTTAAGCCTCCAAAACTTGAAACTTATTTATTTTTTAGTGTTATCGGACCGTTATTCGGCGGCGTGAGGTCCCATCTCTTGAAGAGATTTGAGAATTGATGTTTTGCCCCACAGATTTTGACTGATCATGTATCTTGGAGGTGGTGAGTTTGCGCGTGCTATTTGTTGACCGAAGGTTCACGATCGACGCTTATTAGGTGCTTCTGGATCAATTTGTGCGCCTAATATGTTTCTAATATTTGCTCCGAAATCAGAAGCTTGCTACTAACACGACTTATGGACAGACCAACTGGCGGCTTGGCTGGGGTTCTTTTATTCTTTTTCTTAAATTTAAATCCGCACCAAGGAAGGCCGTTCCGCGACCATATCAGGGAGTTTGATTTTGTTGGACTTCTTGTAATCATGGCAGGTGTTGTGTGTTTGCTTATTGGTCTCAACTCGAGTGAAACGACGTGTAATTTTATCCTCCTACTCTACAGAACCGAAGCTTATTGTTATTTTCTTTTAGGGAAAAATCCCGAAAATATTGCACTCCTTGCTGTGGGAGGCACATTGCTCATCATCGGTGGGATTAATGAGATTTTCACGAAGAAGTCCCCCATTATCCCTCCTCGTCTTTTCAAGGTGAGTCGTTGAAAAAGCTGCCCATATTTATATCGTCTCTCATGGTTTTCCAGACGCGTACGACTGGCTTTACATTGGTTTCTGTCTTCTTGCATGCTGTGCTATTCTTTGCAGGTGTGTCGTGTACGCAAATTTATCTCGGGAGTAGCAATCATTTATATCATTACTCCAGCCTCTTTGTGAGTACTTTGTAGACAGACCTTATACTTGACATCATCATGGATTTTCCAGCTACCTTCCAATGTACTACCAAGGTAAGCCTGTCTTATAGCCTTGGAGTCTGCATTTTGCTGAGATCGACACAAGTTCTTGGCGCATCGGCAACGGGTTCTGGCGTCAGGTGAGTATTGAATCCATGTATTGTTGTTATTCATGTTGCTGATATGAGCAGAATGCTTCCTTTCTCGTTATGCTCTTCGGTCACGTCATCGGTTTGTGGCATCATTGTGGCTCGCACAGGGTCCTACCGCCCTATGATGTGGTTCGGATGGATTGTCATGACGCTTGGTTGGGGCCTCATGATCATGCTGGATAATACGACCACTATGTACGTATTTAGTCAGTGTCGAAGTCACGCGGTCGTCCTAACTTTTTATTTAGTGTAGCGCAAGAAGTCTACCCCCTTATTGCTTCCCTCGGTATCGGTTGCGTGTTCCAGGTGAGTTTACCGCACCATCACGATACACGCTCATCGCCTCTGCAATAGACCCCGCTTATTGCCATACAGGCAGCCATGCCTATTAAGGACATGGCCACCAGTACAGGCGCTTTTATGTTCCTCCGGTGAGTATGACTTTACAATTTGTTTTTCATAGGTCCTTATCGGTCTCAAGAACTCTTGGGAGTACGGTGGGCATGACGATCGGGGAGACTATCATTTCCAGTGTCCTCCACCAGAAACTGCAGGGCATCAAAGGCCTCACAATCGACACCTCTGCCGCGGCTTTGAATGGTAGCATCAAGCAGATTTCTTCCATTTCTGTAAGCCCACTTCCATGGTCTCGGTTCTAGCTTGACGACCAGTCCCACCAGAATCCAACAGTGCGTAACGAGGTCATGCATGCTTACACACAGTCTATCAGCACGATTTGGTTGGTCAGCACGCCGCTATCTGCATTCAGTTTCTTTCTAGTTCTCTTTATTCGTGCCTACACGCTCAAGCGTACGGTCATCCGCAGCGGCGAGAAGAACCTAGGAGACGCTGAGACGGGTGCTGATCAAGCGGCTGCAGACGACTTGGTAGCCATAGAGTTGGAGACTTTGGAGACTTTGGAGAAGCATAAGAAACCGGCCTTCTTTGGTGATGCCACTAGATCAACAGATTCATTTGACGATATTGGCAAACGAAGGACGGAAGCAGAAGATGAGGGGAAAGATTCTCGCCTTGCATCTCGGACATAGAGGTGGGCGAAACCCGATCATACTTCAAAGCTTCATACTATGTAGAGATCGAGACGTGGAAGGATGTCTGGGTCAATGCCTTGCGGAGTGTCATTTCGACTGAAACAATGGATTCGGAGCAGGCTCTGGTCAAAGCGATAAGCGGGTACCTTCCAGACCATATTCTCTATGTAGAAGTTGGACGATTCACCTTGGTCAGAGCGGACTGATATCGTAGGGTCAGACTCACCAGACGTACGACGGAATTCTGTAGAAACGAAGACCTGTTAATAGCATCCAATAATCGTCGATACCATAGGACTTGCAAAGCCTCGATTAAAGGTGAATGAAAAGCTTGCTACAAAGTGTGCACAAGAAACACCACATGATAGATACAAAAGGCAGCTGCAAGTCGCAGCGATATTGTGAAGGGTGGACACGATGTAGATTTTGGAAAAAAGTAGCTTACATTGTAGGCAAATGCTATCGGCACGACATTGACAGCCAACTTCCCCAACTCCCGCCACAAAGGTCATGACACCCACACTGCAGCCTAAAACACCAATGCACTTTCTTAACCTCAATAAAAATGCATTGGTCGCTGATTTTGTGGGAAAACCACTCGACGCTCTGAGAACGCCCGCCCTCGTTGCGGACCGCGTGGTGCTCGCAGAGAACTGCAGGAGATGCACGAGAATGCGAGAGACTGGGAAGCAACTTCTAGAGGACACTCGAAGACACAAGGTAGGAGGGGATGAAATTCACTGTGATGACTTCTATCAGACAGTCGAAGGAACGAAACTGCAGCTAGTTTCAGATATCGGCAGAAGTTCTGCGGTCATTCTATCGACACTCATAGAAGCTTGAGGAATCGTGCAAGGTGGTATCGTAGCCGACGCTGCAGTCAAAGATGTCAGTCCAGAAGCATGTAAAATCGTTCCGACTCTCACCTATTTTTCAGATTCTGTACGGTTTTCCAGTTGGACTGAACAAATTGGATGATCTGTCTGCTCTGCATCTGAGATGACAAGATACGGGAGAACCATTCTTATTCTCTTCAATCATTGAAATCAAGTGAAATTTCTGGAGGAATACGAGAGGGCGCAAGAACACCCGAAGAAATAGTCTGCGTGTATCAAAATGAATGCCAGTCTAAAGTATGTTCTTTGAATACCACCATAATAGATCACTCACAAACATAAACGAGCCGGGATACTTCCAGAGCCTGTTTCAAAGTATTCATAAGGGTGTTTGCATCTTCGGCAATTTCGGTGATCGGATTTTACACCTACGTCGGATACACGTATGGAGTGACATAACTGGAGGAAGCTATCTCATATTTAACAGGGGAAACGCGTCTTACCAATGACGCAGCAGCCACGGCCATTGAAGTTCTGACAGAGTCAAATAACAGAGGTCAACAATCAGTCATTCGTCCTCTCAGTGGGATCCATTCCAACTGTTCTTGGCGCAACCACGGAAGCAAAGCTAGAGATGGCATCTACACTCAATGGAACACTGGAGCTCCATACAGGTAAGCGAACTTCATCAGGGAGGAATCTAGTTGGTATAAACCGATTCGTACAGGAAATTACACCGTGCTCGATCTCCAGCAGCTACACACGACCTTGATCGGCCGTCCACAAATCTCCCAGAATATTTTAGCCACCGTGATTTTATACTACCCCGGAAGAGGAAGTGACGGGCAAGACAAAGCCATGTGTAATGCTGGTGCCATGGCTATGAGTAAAGACACGGATCGTATTCCAGGGTTCGGGAGGTTGTTGGCAAGTCATGAAAGAATTTCGTAGGAGCGCAGGATATCGGTACAAGTTCCCCCACACCCAGAGTCAGGTCGCATAAATCCTACGTTGAAGATCGGAGATACTGTCTAGATTGTCGGGCAACGTATGTTTGATAGCCGCTGCTTACCCGTGGCACTATATCACCGATTCGCGAGGATAAAGGAAGTGACAAAGTGGTTGAGCATCTGGGCACCATGGAAGGGATGGCAGTACTAGACTTAGTGACATGCGGTGTACGACCGATTACTGTCTGAAGTACATAGTAGTAGGTGACGAAGAACTATCAACGATTTTCATTGGCTGACTACGCTAACTCAGGCATGCCGCGCGTCTAATAATGTTATGTAATCGGCAAGACACTGTCTGAATCTGTTCGTCGAATGTCATCGTTTTGCGCAAAAGGTCGTCGCAGGAGGCTGTTCGATTCGACTTCTGTTCTTCTTCGTGAAGCAAAAACCACTGTCCATACAACGGAATTTGTATCTACGCTCCGCACGGTGTCTGTTCGTTGTTAACGCTTCTATCTGGCCAAGTGCCAATGCACACATCTCGGTACCACCTTGAAAATGTACCTTCGACCAATCCGCCAAGCGAAGTCTCAACTCACCTGGCAAGTAGTGAGAACTAACATTGCGCACAAGTGGCATATTGCGAACACTCGTTTGGCAGCGCAAATTTGGGGAAGTTAAAGGTGTATCATGATATCATCAATCCAACTTGAATGGTTGGAAAAGCTCAACACTCTTTTGATTTACCCATGCATGTGACAACATCTCCATCCACGTCCTTGATTCTATGCTCATGATAGGTTTCATCTGCTCAATGAGCTGACAAGGTGCTTACTATATGGAGTACTAGTACCCAGTACACCGTGCCACTTTTGGCTACAATATTTCTGGTCGGTCACAATACCATATATCTATTTCTGATGCCTTATCTCAACGTGGATCGATCCTATCCTGTCTTCGAGAAGTATTAATGAGCCCCGTACTCTTCCGCTTCCAGGTCCTCCTTTCTCTCATAACCATCTAGTGAGTGGAAATGCCCAGCCTAACATTGCCCGAGTGTGGACGCTATATCCCGCCTCTGGCCACAGATGAGGACTGTGAGGAAGTATTTAATTAATATAGTATGTCTACTAGCTAATGACCCAGCGTGTAGTAGAGTTTGCGGACCTGGCTATCGTTGATCTTTCCAAGGCCCATACACCGGAAGGACGGGCAGAGCTCTATCCACAACTTCGAGATGCACTGCGCAGCTACGGCTTTGTTTATGCTATAAATCATGGTTATAACCAGGCTCAGGTGGGCCCGTTCCCGAAGCTCATACTAAGGGTTCTGAAGTACTGTTGTAGCGCGATAGGATTTTTGACATAGCTAACGTCCCTTTCACTGTGGTCCCTCCGGATGAAATGAAGACATATGCTGCAAACATCGAGAAAGTCGGATACTACGCGGGTTTTAAAGGTCGTCAATTCTGGGTGTGTCATATTCTAGCAAGAAATGTATATGAAACTGGCCCTTATCGCTCAATGATCAGAAAGTCGACGCGGAGAATCAGATTCTCGATCAGATCGAGCACTATGGAAGTGGGTGCTACAACTTTCTGTGTGATAGGTGTTACCTACACTTTCGACAGTTAACAAGGACGTCACAAGGCGTCCGCACCCTCAGGCCTTGCGCCCGTTCCTACCAGAAATCGATGCCTTCGTCCGACATAATCACTTCAACGTTGTCCATCCAATCCTTCGGTTAGTTTCTTCGCGAGCCCTTGCTTTATGGTCCATCTCACGAGCAGTCTCATGCAGCTTGGTCGCTTTGAGCCTCGATTTGCCCGAAGAGACTCTGGTGGAAAAACACAACTTTGACGGCACAGGAGAGACATGTGGTTGGTCTTGTTTTACTATATCGAATTCTTCATTAATGGGAAACTGTACAGCCAGATTTATGAAGTAGTAAGTGACCCTTAATCGTAGCCGCTTGTTAACCTGATAAATATTTCTTAAGTTATAGGCGCACCAAAGAGGAAGAGGAAAAATCCAAAAATGTCTGGTTGAAAGGACATACAGGTATATTTTATTTTACTACTTGTCCTTATATGCCCCTCAGCCATGCAGACGTTGGCAGTGTCACCGTTCTGTGGAGCCAACCTGTCGGAGGCCTGCAAATTCAGGCTCCCGACGGCAGATGGAAGTGGGTCCGCCACATCGACAACGCTTTGGTGCGCAAATGAGTGGACCACTGTGACAATCGCAAACTCAACATTCCGTCCTCAGGTCATCAATACAGGCGACATGATGGATTTCTTCAGTGGCGGTTACTATAAGCCCACGATTCATCGCGTCGTCCAACCTCCTGAGGATCAGCGCAACTATGACCGTCTGAGCGTATTCTTCGTGTCGATGCCCGATGACGATGTTCGCTTATTGCCCTGTGTTGAGAGCCCCGTGCTCCACCACTTCGGCATCCAGCGCCGGTGCCCTGACGAGGATGCCCCACTGTGCGAGGCGTGGAGGAAGGGGAGGACAACGATGTATGGTAGGTCTGATCTCAAGAAGGGGATGGAGCACAATGTCGAAGAAGAGGTCATTGAGGGCATAGTGGTGAAACATTACAACTAAGGAGCCGCAGACTGCCCATATATGCGTGTCTCTCGAAATAGGTATGATGTTTATGATGCTGATCAGCCAACTTTGAAACCAAATAACTATTTGGAAAAAGGCCGTGGTGGTGGTACGGGTATAAACAATATTTCTACTTATATTTATCAGACATGTCGCCAAAAAGCGCAACAATCATCACACTCCACGAGCCTCAAGACGACTGCGGAAGAGCTTCTGGAACTGCGAGGCGTGATCAATGTCCATGAGCGTGTTATGCTCCCCAGGCACGTCAGTAAATTGTGGATCGCTGCGGCTGAATGAAACCAGTCCATGGCTTGAGCTCATTGAGCCAGTTAACCTTGTCACTCCGGGCCACGAGGCGGGACGGCATAGAAAACATCAATGGCCGCTGAAGAGAGACATGCAATGTGAGCAAGCAGTGTTGAAGTGGGAAAATGAATGACTTACGAGCTGTGCCCGACGGACTGTATCCCTTTCCACAGCGCATGAGGGACACAGAGACTTCGACCCAGTGTTCGAGAGTTTCAGGTGTCAACTGGAGCTCGGCGAGGACGTTCAGGAGGCGACATCTTCCACACGATCTCAAGTCTCTCCTTCTGCGTGAGCGTTTTAAAAGTAGGCCACATACTTTCAGATTCGTGCTTCGACAAAAGACCGAGGAAGAATTGCCACGTTAAGCGTACAGATGAGTTCGATATTGTGCATGTGGTTGGGCGATATAAGAGGGACGTTAACAAGACCGAGAAACCTGACTTCTTCCACCCATGGCCTCCAGGCGCTTAACCACCTCAAAGGCCATCAAACCACCGTAGCAGTAGCCAAGCGATGGCATATGGTCCCGCCGGTTGGATCCTCCTGATACCCGTAGTATAAGAAGAAAACCATCTCATCCATGGACCGTGAAGAAGGGCTGACCAGGCTCGAAGCCACGAGCACGAAGTCCATAGAAGGGACGCTCATTCTGGAAGTACTTGGCGAGATTGAGGAAAACAAGAACTTCTCCGACTCCAGGGTGCACGAAGAAGATGGGCGTCTTGTCTCCGGTTACTTGGAGGGGGACAGGGGGGTCGTATTCCTCAGCCCGACTGTCTTTGGAAAGTAAGGAATCAACATAGTCGGCCAGGCTCGAGACGTCAGGATGCTTCAGGATTTGTATGGCGGGAATTTCAGGCAGGCCAAAGTATGCCTCTCCCTCACGCTTGAGCCTGTAGATTATATGAGTTAGTAAAGGTCACTTTACAGCAATAAATCATGTATTTACCTGAGAACACCAATAGATGTACCACCAAATTCGAAGAAGTTGTCGTTCGCCGACACCTCGTTGTCTGCGAAGTTCAGGATACTTGCATACATCTTGGCCAGAACCCTTTCCGTTTTAGTGGAGGGGGCTACAAAGGAGGCGCCGCGTGCCTCGCTAAGAAGCTCGTCAGCGCAAGCGATATGCTTCGCCAGCCCACCTTTCTGAAGGAGCATGAGGAGGTGCGCCCGGGAGAGTTTTCCCAGAGTTGTCTTTTCCATTTGCTTCACAGGGATGGGAATGATCAGTTGAGGTGGCTGGGTGATCATCTTAACAGAGATGTCACGTAAAGCACGATTCGTGGCAAAGAGCTTCATAGGCGGCGCCTGCTTCATCGAGGTCGAAAGATGGCGAGTAGAAAA